TATTCGCGCGTCAGGGACGATTGTATTTCATCTATATTCGCTTGTCAGGGACGGTGAATCTCATCTATATTCGTGTATTTCATCTATATTCGCTTGTCAGGGACGGTGAATCTCATCTATATTCGTGTATCTCATCTATATTCTCGCGTCAGGGACGGTGAATCTCATCTATATTCGTGTATCTCAACTATATTCTTGCGTCAGGGACGGTGAATCTCATCTGTATCTCAACTATATTCTTGCGTCAGGGACGGTGTTTTTCATTTATGTTCGATCGTTACAGACGACGTATTTAATTGCTCGAAGGAAACGGCTATCTGAATATACTTGCTTATTCGGGACGGGATATCGCAACAAAACCTTTGGGATTATTACATGGAATGATTGACAGTTGCTAGGGCTGCTTGGGAAGTCATTTCTATTTTGGGAGTTCGATTATGTCGGTAAAATCTTGGCCGATAGTGTTGCAAGATGAGCGGATTGTCGAACAGAAAACAAGATCTGAGTGGCTTCAGACACGTAGGTTTCACAGTGTTCGACAATGAACTAAATACTCCAATATCGGAATCAAATATGGAAAGACCGGAAACAGAAACAATCAACGTTTTGTTTAAGACTCGTATCGGGTTAATAAACACTTTAATAACCAATCAGGGATGGTTACAAGAAATTCATGCTGGTGCAACATTGCGCGAAATCAAGAGACGCAAAAAACAATATGATGATAATTGGAAGACGTTCGTTGACATTCACGAACAATACCTTGAATTAGTCGTCCAGGATGAAGAAAGAGAAATAGCAAATCGTAGCTACAAAGAACAGATGGCAAAAAGGTGCATCTGGACGAAATGGTCAGATCTTGTAAAAGAATGCCAAATTAGAAGCAAAGCAGCAAGGGAGAAGAGGTTAGTTCGCCTTCATTACTAACAAGTAGAAGCTCAAGCAAGAAGTAAGTCAGGAGCCATAGTTCCAAGTCTTCAACAGTGTCCAGAAGGAAAGAAAAAGTTAGCTCTTGCACAGCTGAAAAGAGATCAGTGCGAAAAACATGAACTTGAAAGGAAAATTAGAAGATTTGAAAAGGAGGCTATGGAAGCCAAAATGGAAGAAAGAGCGAGCGTTGGTGAGCCTTAACGCTGCCGCAAAAGGCAGAGATCGAACTCGAAGAAGACCACGGTAAGACCACAGGGGCACGGTATCAAAACTAACAAAAAACCTGTCACCGTTTGCAAAGGCGTATGTTCCGCAAAGTTCGCTAGTACAAACAAAAGGCATGCCCTCCCAGCCAAGGAATGTGGGGGACTTGGAGAAAATTATTGAAGTAGATCAATCCGAACCACAAATAAAACAGTCGGAGGTACCAACGCAGAAAACTCAAACTAATCCAGATCAGACTGTAAGATCGTCGGAAGACGAATCACAATCAGCTCCTATGACGAACTTAATTGAACAAAAAGCCGAACAGATCCAATTAAAGGAAGGAGGAGGAGGAGACGAGATAGTAAAAGCCTTGAGACAAGTAGTTTCCATGCCAAAAATCAAATATATGCACTTTGAGGGTGATGCAATAAATTATGCCTCCTTCATGCATAATTTTGAGACTTGCTTAGAAAAGGACAATCCAGATAATTCTACTAGACTTCAACTCCTAATACAACATTGCACTGGTAAAGCACGTGATGCTATTGAGAGTTGTGTTAACTTACCTGCCCAGGAAAGTTATAATATCGCGAAGAACACACTGTATGAAAAATTTGGCAAACCGCACATAATTGCAAAGGCTCACGTTCTAAAGTTGATGAATTTGCCGCTATTGAAGCAAGCAGATGGACCAAGTTTGTTGGAGTCAACTCGACATATGGAAGTGGCAAACAGAACCCTTGTATATGGGTGAATATGAAAGCGAGCTGGACCATATGAACACCCTACGCAAATTAAATCGTAAGCTACCACTATTTATGAGAGTTAGGTGGACAGAATGTGCGGGCTCTATTATCGAATCTGGTTCTAGACCTAAATTTAGAGATTTCCTTTTGTTTGTGAAGAAAAGAGCCAAACTCGTGAACAATGAATTCGGAGAAGATCTCTGTTCCGGCGTGGTAAGGAACAATGGAGGCAAGAGATTAGAAGGGAAAAAGGGTCCCTGTGCGAGAACTAGTTCGTTTGCAGCTGGAGCGTACAAACGAGAGAACGGTAGAGATGGAAACTTTAAAGAAAGGAGAACATCAAACATGAAATGCCTCATTTGTCAAGAAGGCCATAGGATATGGAAATGCGATAAGTTTAAGAAACTTCCTTATCACGAAAAGATGAAGTTTGTTCAAGAACACGAACTTTGTTTCAGGTGCCTTACTAGAGGGCATTATGCCAGATCTTGTCCCAAGATTGATCTCAAATGTCGAGTAGAAGGATGCGGAAAGGGCCACAATACGTTGTTACATCCACTACAAACGAATACGTCCAGTAAAGAGGATTCAAAGGACAAACTGTGTGAAGGAAATAACACAAACAAGAAGAGGGAACCGACAAAGAGAAGTCAGATGAAGTAAAGGTAGCAGTTGCAACTGGGGCCGGAGACCGCGTGTGCCTTAGCGTTGTCCCACTGAAAGTGAAAGCAAAGGGGGGGAAAATCGACCGTCAGTCAGAACTTACGCACTAATGGATAGCGGTTCAGAAGTAACACTGGGTCATAAAAGTTTGCAAAATCAACTTGGAATAACTGGGCGAAAGCTTGACTTCACATTGACAGGGATGACTGGATCGACTGAATTAAAGAGTGAATTAGTGGATATCGTTCTATGGACGACAGCACAGTGGTTGAATTACCAAACGTCAGAACGGTGAACCAAATACCAATTTCAGAGTCTTGTGTAGCAAAAAGAGGTGATATAAGAAAATGGCCGCACTTACGCAATCTTCCGTTGCAAGAGTTAGAGACTTGTGAAGTAATGCTGGTTATCGGGCTGCGCGAAAATCGTAAGTTGTTTCTACCTTTGGAATATAAATTGGGAGAGGAGAAGGATCCAGTGGCAATTAAATACAGTTTAGGATGGACAGTGATTGGTCCTGTCGCCTAACGAAATGAACGGTGTGCATCGGCTAATCTTGCACGATTGGAATTCGATGCCCCTGACTCTGCCACTAATAATGAAGTTGATGAAGCGGAAAATGAATGCCTCAAGTATCAATTGGAAAGACTGTGGAAGACCGACTTTGAGGCTCCTAGTTGAAACTAAAGTGTGTCCGCTTGAAGACAAGCGCTTCAAATAATGGAAGAGACGCTGACAGTAGTGGATAATCATTTTCAAGTTGCTCTGCCATGGCGAAAGAAACCGCCCTCCTTACCCAATAATAGAATAATCGCAGAACGCAGAGGCTTGCTTTTGAAAAACGGCTCCTCAGGATGAAAACCTGTTGGAAAAGTATCAAGCCACAATAAACGATTACATTGATAAAGGCTACGCAGAAAAATTCCTCAGGATCAACTAGAGGTAAACGACAGACCAACGTGGTACCTACCACATCACCCGTTACTCATCCTCTAAAGCCCGAAAGGTAAGAGTCGTCTATGATTGTGCAGCCAGATATGAGCAAACGTCGTTGAATCAACAACTACAGGGTCCGGATCAGACAAATCTATTAACAGGCGTGTTAATTCGCTTCAGAGAGGAATTAGTTGCAGTAGTTGCTGATGTAGAAGCAATGTTCCATCAGGTTCTAGTGGAACCAAAGGATCGGGATGCATTGCGATTCTTATGGTGGCCAAATAAAGACCTTTCCGGACATGGAAGAATACCGAATGACGAGACATTTGTTCAGGCAACGTCTTCTCAAGTATCGCCAATTTCTGTTTGCGGAAGACAGCCGAGTTGTATCAAAAAGAATACGACTCACTAGCAGTAGAGACGGTGAAACGTAACATGTATGTCGATGACTTGATGAAATCAATAAGCGAACCAGAAAAAGCAATAAGTTTAGCGAGTCAATTGCGTCAACTATTGAAAAGAGGAGGATTCCGTCTTACAAAATGGTACAGCAACAGCAGGAGCTTGATAGCAACAATTCTCGAAACTGAGAGAGCAAAATCCGTAAAGAATTTAAAATTGGATAAGCTTCCCACAGAAAGTACTCTTGGAATAAAGTGGAACACAGAAGAGGATATGTTTGTGTGGGTTGTAGCGGAAAGAATGTTGCAGTTAGAAAAAAGGTCCTGTCACTCGACGGAAGATAGTGTCAGCAGTATATTCGCTTTTCGATCCCTTAGGCTTTATTGCTCCGTTTGTTATGAAGGCGAAGTTAATACTGCAAATGCTTTGTAGAAAAGGACTTGGATGGGATGATCACATTCAGGCGAACGAACTTTCGCAATGGAAACGTTGGGTAGCTGATCTCCCAAAGCTACAAGAAATTCGGTTCGCCGCTGTTTTAAACCTGCAGGATTCAAGAAGTTAAAGATGTGAGTCTACATATTTTTCCGACGCCTCTCGACTTGGCTATTCGGCGGTGGCATATTTGCGTCTAAAGAATGGAAACAACGAAATACACTGCTCATTTGTAATTGGGAAGGCTAGACTCGCTCCATTAAGGGAGATTTCTATTCCAAGACTGGAATTAACGGCTGCCGTCATTTCCGTAAGACTTTCGAAGATTATTCGAGAAGAATTGGATATGGTAGTGCAAAGAGTTTGTTACTGGACAGATTCAATGTCAGTCCTCAAATGTATTAACAACGAAAGCAAAGATTTCACCATTCGAGTCCAACCGTTTGTCAGTGATTCGTAGTGGATCGCACCCATCCGAGTGGAATTACGTGAACCGAGACGACAATCCCGCCGATGAAGGTTCCAAGGGCGTTAGATTGGACGTGTTGAGAAATGAAGGCCAATGGTTAAAAGGTCCTGCATTCCTTTGGGAGGATGAAAGCCATTGGCCGAAGGGAATAACAATTCCTGAACTAAAGGATGAAGACCGAGAGGTAAGGAAGGAAGCCCAAATTTACGTGACTGCAGAACAGCCTCACTTGTTGGATATGTTGATTTCACGCCACTCCATTTGGTGGAAGTTGAGGTGTTCTGTTGCTTGGTTGTTACGTTATAAGGATTATCTTCTTAGCAAGGCGAGACAAAGGAAAGTTATTTCTGGTCCTCATTTGGAATCGGAATTTAAAGTTGGACGACTAACAATGGAAGAATTGGATGCCGCCGATAGGGAGATCTTCGCACATGTACAGAACACCATTTTCTCAAGAACTAAAACTGTTTGCAGTTCCAGGAAATAGTAAGGAGCTTGACAAGGCACTACTCAGAAAATCAGGAATCTCCATCCGACAATTAAATCCAATGATGGTGAACGGCTTACTAAAGGTTGGAGGCAGGCTTGGTAATGCGCCAATCAATGGGAAATCAAACATCCTATTATTCTACCCTTCAAGCATCCCGTCACAGATATGATAATTCGTCAACATCATGCTGAAGTAGGTCATATGGGTCAAGAATCCGTCTTATCATCACTAAGAAAGGAATTCTGGATAATTAAAGGAAGAACAGCAGTTCGACGCGTAGTACAGAAGTTGCCTAGCTTGTCAAAGAAGAAAGGCTCGTTTGGGTGAGCAGCTAATGTCAGATCTACCAGAAAGCCGAGTGACACCTCAAAAACCTCCTTTTACTATAGTAGGAATCGATTATTTTGGACCCATGCTGGTGAAAAGAGGTAGATCGTTGGTGAAAAGATATGGTTGCCTTTTCACATGTTTCACAAGCAATCCATATAGAAATAGCTCATTCCTTGGATACAGACTCGATGATCAACGCTCTCAGGAGATTTATTAGCATGCGAGGATGTCCCGAGCAAATCAGGAGTGATAGAGGAACAAATTTTGTGAGTGCTAACAAGGAATTGAACAAAGGAATTGAAGAATGGGATCAAAGTAAAGTGGACAAATTTTGTACGCAAAGAAGAATTAAGTGGCACTTTAACCCGCCTTCAGCGAGCCATATGGGAGGCGTATGGGAGAGAATGATACGATCTGTTAGACAAATCCTCAAGCAATTCTCAAAGGAACAAGTAGTTTCAGACAAAGTCCAGCAAACCGTGATTGCAGAGGTGGTTCTAATCCTGAATTCAAGACCTCTCACGCGCAACAGTGACAGTCCTGAAGATGACGATCCTCTAACTCCAAACCACTTATTGCATTTACGAGCAAGTACTAGTTTACCCCCAGGATTATTTGACAAGAATGATTTGTGCTGTAAGAAGAATTGGAAGCAGGCTCAATACTTAGCAAATGTTTTTTGCGTAGATGGCTCAAAGAATACTTACCAACATTAATGGAGAGAAAGAAATGGTACACACCGAGACGGAATCTTAAAAAAGGAGATCTAGTACTTGTAGCTGACGAAAACTACAAGGGACAATGGCCGTTGGGTCTCGTTGTAAAGCAATAGCAAGTAATGACGGTTATGTGCGGACAGTGAAGGTAAAAACTAGTTCAACAGTATCGACCAGAGCCAAACATCAACGAGGGAGATTACAAGATGAACACGGTAACCTTGATCCGTCCCGTGACTAAATTATGTCTACTTGAGATGGACAATTGAAGTTATATATCTAAATAATTTAGAATTTGAGAGTTATGTTCTTGTTGTGTTATCCAGATTTAACGGTAGCTTAATATGGTTGTAAATGGATTGCTACGTTGCAATTTCCATTTAGGGGCCGGTGTGGCTACCGTATGAATCATATGGACGGAATGGGGAGCAGGAAGTGACGTTTGAAAAGGTGTTGTTTTTAAGAGTAAAAGACAAATTGTTGTTGAATGTTGTACGTGGGACCAAACGGTCCTTAACGTAAGAAACAATGAAGACAATAATTTAAAACCATAATTTGAAGATAATAATTTAACAGTAGTAACTTGTAATTTGGTTTATTAAATTGCTTATTCTTTGTTCTATGACGACTTGATAGTAACACCTATATTAATTCACACTTATTAGTTTACACTGATCTGTTAATAGACTGGATCATTATTATCTATTACAAAATATAAATGTTTAAAACTAAATCAAATATGACTAAAATCAGTGTTTAAAATATCCATGATAAAGGGACAGTCAAATGTTAAACAGCTCCCAATAACCTAGGTCAATATTTAAAGTATGTTCGCGAGTTGAGGCAGATCGACTTCCTCGTATCGCAGTAATTGCTGACTGTCAATGGAAGACAGTTTACAACGCATCCACGCTAGCGTGATGCCATATGCAACTTTCTCTTTTGTACCAGCAGATCAGCTAGCCGTTTATATGCAATTGCCGTCTCTTAAGTAAGTTCAATTATTACCAACAGCAAATAATACAATTAACGTTTGCAGCAAAACAAAATGTTTCTATGTCGAGTCAGAAGACTAAATAATGCCAGCCTCAGAAGAAGGTAACACACCAACTTCAGAAACGTGCACCAAACTCGAGGGACGTTTTAGATAAGTCAGCCACTGATCATTATATGCAGTATAATTATGACGATATTGTTAGTTTTTTTGGTGGAAATCATTTTAAATTGATTCAAAGAATGGCGAGTTTTGTAAGAAATTGACGTTAGTTAAGACCTTCCGATGCATGCGGCTCAGCGATTCATCCCAAATTTGCTTAGATTACAAATGAAAATTTTCTTCAAATATTAGGCTTGAAGAGCGCAGAAAATAATTGAAAAATCTAAGCCACCGCAAACAAAGCAATTTTCTTCCGAACACATGAGCTTCGCATATGTGCCAGAAGAATCAAAATACAACATAAACCAGAAACGAAAGTAAATCATGAGTGATTTCGTAATTTTTAAGTTGTATACTGCATAGTAACAAAATGTGATGCATGAATGTCAGATATATGTGGCGTGCCAAATGTCCTTATTATGTATACGCTATGTAAGTGCAAATACTAAATTAAGGTTTATTTACGTCTAAGGCTATTCGTCAAGAAACAAACTGCTTAAGCTTTGATTAGCACTTCTCGAAATGAATTTCAGGATTTTTTGAAACGCCAACAGCGGCGGATTTAGGGGGGGCGAAGCTGCCGCGGCCCCCCCCTTTTTGCTAGAAAAAAAAACAAAAAATTGAAACGAAATGCAAAGTGACAGGGGGGGAATGCAAAGTGAAATGAAATGAAAGGTCTTGTATTTCTACAAATGTTTTTGGCTCCACACAAACCAATTTTCGATCATGTGACGATACTTCCTTCAGGTAATTTAGCCTTATGGCAATTTACTAAACAATATTGTGTGTCGACTGCGCATACAAATTGGATGGCATACAGTCCCAATAAAGAATCGGTAGACACATAACTGCTTTGTGTTAACACGCAAAGGAGAAAAAACTGCAACACAAAGTATAGTGCAATCAAGATAATTTTTTACAAAAAAAAACATAGAGCTTAACATAATCGATCTAACTTTTGTGGACTGTAACATACCCACAATTTGTGGGCATTGCAGTTGCTGTCGCAATTTATACATATTGTATATACTTTCTATCTTATTTGGTATAATTTTGTCGTAATTAATGTCAGAATAATCACCTAAAGCTTACCCATTTCATTGACTTATGGCAGGATTGGCTCTCCAAAATGCTACCCTCTAATTAACCTTTGTGCGAGACAAGATTTTCTTTCATTCTGAACTGCAGTGATTGATGTCTTTTTGGAAAAAGTAATTAGAGCGTTGTACCCAAATAGCAATATTTTGAATTGATACACCTTGATGCGAATGAACTAGAGCTCAGGTTGATCAGGAAAGTTTAAAGCTCTTATAAAAAGTTCAAGAACTTGTGATAAATGCTAAGATGCATGTAGTTGTTGTGCTATTTACCAATAATACAGAATGTAGGAACTCCAACAATGATATAGATATTGCCTTGAAGAATAACTATCAATGTCAGATTTAGTGAAAATCGTTAATGAGCAAAAGTCACGATTGCAAAATCAGGATCATGTCCGCCTTTGTTAATTTTTAGTATAGGTCAATTTTCATACTAGAGACGGGATCATCTGTTTGGAGGAATGATCCGTCTAACAGATCATACGTCTAAGTCTAAACACGAGACGAACTATGTATTAATAAACTACACAAATTTTGGAGCGAGTTATGAACTACGAAGTATCATTTTTTCCGTAGTTTGTCCTCATTTCACATTTGTATTCACAGAAGGATGATGCGTCAAGTCAAAATACCCGTGCAAATTCGTCTAAATAAACAAACTACTCAAATAATTCGTAAACATCTTGACGGATGATCTGTAAGTTTGCACGTATATACACACAGACAAACTTGAAGGCGAACTATGTTTTGCTTGCCTAAGTTTGTCCAGATAGATGATCAGTCTTTAGCATAAATCTGGCCAAGCAGTAACTTCTTTACACCACTTTCAGAAAGACACTAATCTAATCCAATTATAAACTCTTCAAGAGTAAAGCTCCTTCAGCCCTTCCGCTTCCTACGCCTATACACACATATTGACACATATAATGGTTATCAACTAATAAACAGTTTAATTCGTGCATATTATTTATCATATGGGGTTATAATTATGGGTGCATGCAAATGACTGTTTTACATTTCATTCTCGTTGTATGAAGACAAGCTTTTACCTCAGGGAAACTCGATTACAAAGTTTGCTATTTTAGCTAAATACTATTAATCCTATTCTGTTCTTGCTCATTTCACGAATTATGTCAATACGATGTCTTATTGTAATGGCACCTTAAACAATCAGTAGAACATTTGTTAACAGCGAAGTATAAACAATTTTGCAATTTTGTATTTTCTTTATTTCGAAAGTCAACTAGGCCCTGAGAAAAGGCTTGCAAAATTTTAGGAATCGAAACATTCCTAGTAAATTTTAATCTAAGCAATTTTAATTCATTTAAATGTATGTCTGTTTAAAAATGGATTTTTATCCATCCTTCCCCGACAGTTGTTTTAGGTTTACATAACAGGAGAGCCAGCGGTGCATCAAACTTGCATGGGATCCCTCCGAACCAAACCTTAAGCCTCCCTTGATCACCACACGTTGAAAACAAAACATCAACTTGACACCTGACGAAAGCATTCAACCTTTCCCCGTAATAAGTATAATGACAATGTAATGTTTCGTGCTGGGATTTCTGTCTTCCTTTGGCGCTATTATAAGGCGGTATAGAAATGAAAAAATGACTTTGCTGTATGAGGGCCCCTCAAAACGCAGGGCCTCTTAAAACAGAGGCAACCACTTAAAACACACCCTGAGGAGTATCAAAGGGTGTGTGTCGGTTGTATATGGTCTTTGCCACACATATATAAGCCTCTCTAAACCCTTTAAGTCCCAGTGTCCGATATATCAGACACCACGTGCCAGCGCTTCTTTTGCCCAGCTAACTCATAAACAAAAGCCGGACATGCGCTTTAAAGTACACCATTCGATTAAAGGACACATGCAACATAAAATTCGGATTGTTATTTTTGTACTTTACATAAAGGTATAGCTCCAACTAATAGTTCACCAAAGTTTGCGACTCAAAGGATAAATATTTTTGAAGATATGGAGGTTTAAAGTTGATGCTTCACTGATAACGTATTAAAAATGCCCGACGAGCTAACGACGGCTACCGATTGGAAAAAGGTCGTTGTGACGTAATAGTTGACATGAGCTAAACGCGGTCAATTGCGCGCTTCGTTCAAAATATATTGGTTACTTCTTTGCCTGCATTAATAACACGACAATTTAGCATTGAAAATTTGGTTTATTGTGCCGCATTTAATTATAAAAACGGTTCTTTTAAGAACCATCAAACGCAGCAAAAGGTTTCTTTATTCGTTTCCTGAAAACAAGCGCATGCGAGATATTTGGATTGAAAAAATCCGACGCAAAAATTTGAAGCCAACAAAGAGCTCAAAATTGTGCTCGCAACATTTCGAGAGTTCGTGCTTCGTGCAAAATTTTGAAGCGATCCAATCAGGAGGATGGACAGCAGGACGGCTTCGCGTTAAGAAGGATGCTGTATCCACGATTCTTTAATACACTGTGGAACCCACAAGTGTAGCATTTAAAAGGAGCAGCCAACAAATGTTAGAACTGCATTTGAGAAGAGACGAAGGCAAGAGGTGATTATTATAGTTATAGTTAGCAATATTTGTTTACATTTATCAAAAACTAAGCTATATAGCATTACCAAATTGAGGACAATTTTATAATTTTAGATTATTGACGACGTTCTTGCAGAACATGACGACTTTCTTGTAGGCAACGACCACGATGTGTCGACATCGGCTTGAAATGTTTGTGCGTTTTACCTCAAAGGAAGTTTGTCTAAGATAAAGATGTCAAAATATATGTAGACAGCGAAACACAAACATATACAGTGGTAACT